TCACATTGCCACAGTCACCCATATTATACCACCCTGGCCACAGTCACCGCCATATTGGAACATCCACTAGTGGCCGGGGGACAATGTGAATCACTAAATTATGGCTACACAGGAAAGCCTCAACTCAGTCACCCTTCCTTCCATAACCCCTCCCCTCTTTCCTCCCTAACCCTCCCATTCTTTCTCCCTTTCCCTTCTTCTCTTTCCTCCCTACCTCCCTCCCTCTTTTCTTCCCCTTCCCTCTTTGATCACTAACTATCATTCCTTCTCCTCCCCCCCCTTTCTTCCCCTCCCCTTTTCTTTCCCTCCCTTTCTTTCCCTCCTTTCTTTCCCTCCCCCGGCACCAGCTGACACCACCTGTTGTCTGTTCACCACGTTTCATTTATCGTTGGCAACACTGACCGACTCCGAGGACGGTATTGTAATTTATCGTTGGCAATACTGACGCTAAGGACGATCATTTGGCCACGAGAACCATGTCTTCTTGACCCCCGTGTGTGTTTATATTAGCCGACACACACACACACACACACACACACACACACACACACACACACACACACACACACACACACACACACACACACATCACATCATCACACGTCAGCCATCACTCATACACACGGAATTAAATCATTCAACATGTAGGAAAACTCTTCGCCTTATCTCTCCTCTCTGTACACTTGATCTCACTTCTCTCAGTCTCTAGATCAACACTCCTCCTGGTCTGTATCTCCTATGGTCTCCAAGGCGACCGTTACCACACAAATTCTTCACAGCGACATTGGAGACCAGCTTAATAATCTAGTACTCTAGTGTCTCTATCTGCCGTTGTGTTTAGTTGGCGCTGTAATATTAGTAGTTCTGCCTCTTGCCGCTGTGTTTCCTTGGCACTGTAATCTTAGTAGTTCTCCCTCTTGCCGCTTTGTTTAGTTGGCGCTGTGATCTTAGTAGTTCTGCCTCTCGCCGCTGTGTTTAGTTGGCGCTGTAATCTTAGTAGTTCTACCTCTTGCCGCTGTGTTTCCTTGGCACTGTAATCTTAGTAGTTCTTCCTCTGGCCGCTTTGTTTAGTTGGCGCTGTGATCTTAGTAGTTCTGCCTCTCGCCGCTGTGTTTAGTTGGCGCTGTGATCTTAGTAGTTCTACCTCTTGCCGCTGTGTTTCCTTGGCACTGTAATCTTAGTAGTTCTTCCTCTGGCCGCTTTGTTTAGTTGGCGCTGTAATCTTAGTAGTTCTACCTCTCACCGCTGCGTTTAGTTGGCGCTGTAATCTTAGTAGTTCTGCCTCTTGCCGCTGTGTTTCCTTTGGCACTGTATCTTAGCAGTTCTCCTCTTGCCGCTTTGTTTAGTTGGCGCTGTGATCTTAGTAGTTCTTGCCTCTCGCCGCTGTGTTTGAAGGTTGGCGCTGTAATCTTAGGGTAGTTCTACCTCTGCCGCTGTGTTTCTTGGCACTGTAATCTTAGTAGTTCTTCCTCTCGCCGCTGTGTTTAGTTACGCTGTGATCTTAGTAGTTGTACCTCTCGCCGCTGTGTTTAGTTGGCGCTGTGATCTTTTAGTGGGTAAGTAGTTCTACCTCTTTGCCGCTGTGTTTCTTGGCACTGTATCTTAGTAGTTCTTCTTCCTCTGGCCGCTTTGTTTAGTTGGCGCTGTGATCTTAGTAGTTCTACCTCTCGCCGCTGTGTTTAGTTGGCGCTGTGATCTTAGTAGTTCTACCTCTTGCCGCTGTGTTTCCTTGGCACTGTAATCTTAGTAGTTCTCCCTCTTGCCGCTTTGTTTAGTTGGCGCTGTGATCTTAGTAGTTCTACCTCTCGCCGCTGTGTTTAGTTGGCGCTGTGATCTTAGTAGTTCTACCTCTTGCCGCTGTGTTTCCTTGGCACTGTAATCTTAGTAGTTCTTCCTCTGGCCGCTGTGTTTAGTTGGCGCTGTAATCTTAGTATAGTTTCCTTTTAATCCCCAAATGACGTTGAAATTCATGAGTCCAAATGTACTCAACAACTGTACTAAGAGGCCACATGTACTCTACGACTGTACTAAGAGGCCACATGTACTCAACAACTGTACTAAAAGGTCACATGTACTCTACGACTGTACTAAGAGGCTACATATACAGTACTCCTCAAGTGTACTAAGAGGCCACATGTACTCAACAACTGTACTAAAAGGCCACATGTACTCTATAACTGTACTAAGAGGCCACATGTACTCAACAACTGTACTATGAGGCCACATGTACTCAACAATTGTACTAAGAGGCCACATGTACTCCTCAACTGTACTAAGAGGTAACATGTACTCAACGTCTGTACTAAGAGACCACATGTACTCAACGATTGTCCTAAGAGGCCACATGTACTCCTCAACTGTTCTAAGAGGCCACATGTACTCAATGACTGTACTAAGAGGCCACATGCACTCAATGACTGTACTAAGAGGCCACATGTACTCAATGACTGTACTAAGAGGCCACATGTACTCAATGGCTGTACTAAGAGGCCACATGCACTCAATGACTGTACTAAGAGGCCACATGTACTCCTCAACTGTACTAAGAGGCCACATGTACTCAATGGCTGTACTAAGAGGCCACATGTACTCAATGACTGTACTAAGAGGCCACATGTACTCAATGACTGTACTAAGAGGCCACATGTACTCATTGACTGCACTAAGAGGCCACATGTACTCAATGACTTGTAAAGAGTATGGTGGTAATAGTAGTGGTGATGGTGGTAGTGGCAGTGGTGGTAGCGGTGGAGGTAATAGTGGTGGTGATGGTGGTAGTCGTAGTGGTTAATAGTGGTGGTAGTAGTGGTCGTTGTGGTGGTGGCGGCAAGTGATGGATACGTTAATGGAGGCTGACAGCTGCGGCGCCTACCTGACTGATCATCTCTCTCTCTCTCTCTCTCTCTCTCTCTCTCTCTCCAGTATTCTCAAGTAATAGTAAGTGAACACTGGCGGGCCAACACCGTAGAGTTCTCAACGCCTAAAATCTCCTCCTCCAATACTACTTACTGCCTGGCTCTCTCCCTCACTAACACTACCCTCCTCCCCTTCACCAACATTACTCCTTGTTCCTCCTCCTCCAACAGTACTGCTCCCACGATGGGAATGAGGCCACTACCTGTTGCTCCTTGTTTATCTGTGGACAGGCGCTGGTGGGGGAGGAGAGGGGGGAAGGAACTCACAGTAGCTGGGGAGACGGGGGAAGGTGGGGAAGGGAGGAGGGGGGGGCGGTAGTAGTCAGAAGAAGGAGGGGATGAAGATAAATGAAGGGGAAAGGATGGAATGGGAAGGAGAGAGGAAAGGCCAGGGAAAGGAGATGGAGGTGAGAGGAAGGGAAAGAAAGGGAGGTGAGGGCGGTAATAGTCTGAGAAAACAGGGAGGAAGGTAGAGGGGGGAATGAATGAGGAGGGGAAGGAGAGGGAGGCGAAGGAGGGGAACGAGAGGGAGGCGAAGGAGGGGAACGAGAGGGAGGCGAAGGAGGGGAACGAGAGGGAGGCGAAGGAGGGGAACGAGAGGGAGGTGAAGGGATGAGAAAGGAGGAAGAAACTTAAACTTTATATAATTGATCAATTTACTGAACGCCCATCCCTCACCCCTCACCCTCCAGTCCTACCTTCCCCCATCTCTTCTCCAAGTGGTGTGAGAGAGAGAGAGAGAGAGAGAGAGAGAGAGAGAGAGAGAGAGAGAGAGAGAGAGAGAGAGAGAGAGAGAGAGAGAGAGATACACGTTTCTCATTAACTGTTGCGTCCGTTTGTATGTTATCTAACGTGTCCAGGTAATATCTCACGGCACTTTCTGTGGCAGGAGATTTAACACCCTAATGACCAGGTGATGTGGAGTATTTTGTTGAGTTTAGACACCTGTTGTTGATGACTATACCTGGCGCCGGTGTACATTGATCATACCATTAAACTGTTTTACCTTTATGCTCAGATGATAATAGAATGTAATTATCACACTGACACTATATATTTACATTATATTTTAAGCTTGCAGTTCTATCTGAAGTATTTACCTTTGTGTGAGTTATTACAGGTAAAGTAGGTTAACATGTGTTCAGTTTACAACACAACACAACACTTGTAACTCGACTCTCTTCATACTGTGGCATCGAACCTTTGTCCTCGCAATTGTGGACTCAAGAGACCTCTCGTTTGTGTCACTGCCGCACCTACCACTACTATGAGAGTGCCACCCGCGCCTGGTCACCAACCTGTGGACCCAAAAACTATACAGAAAGAAGCATCGGACTCAGTTTGAACCCTTGTGTCGAAACTGAGAATTTACTGAGTACATTAAGGAGATCTCGACTGAAACCTTTTGAAACATCTGAACTAAATCAGTGACTTCACATACTATTCTACAATTCACTAGACTGAACCTTCAATTCGAACTCGTGTGTCGAAACATCTAAACTTACGAACTACTGTATAGTATAAAACATTAGACACTGTTCGAATCATTGACTAATAGCCCCTGTACTTACATACCAAAACACAACGACTCGACTGAACCCTATTCGAACCTTTACTTCTAATCCGTGAACGTATTATAACACAGCAAAGAAGCGCTGCACCTTTTTTCGAACCCTGGTATCGAAGCCTCGTACTCCAGGCAGCTCTTGACACGACTTCCTCCTCTCCCAGCTGCCCAAAGTACCGGGGAAAAAATATCGAGAAAAGTGAAAAATTTTGACACGACTTTTATAACACAACATGTGGAGAGGTTCACCGACCTGTTGGTTGGAGGAATGAACCGCGGATCACCAAGAACCGCGGATCACCAAGAACCACAGCTCACCAAGAACCGTGGATCACCAAGAACCGCGGATCACCAAGAACCACAGATCACCAAGACAAGAACCACAGATCACCAAGACAAGAACCACAGATCACCAAGACAAGAACCACAGATCACCAAGAACCATAAATTACCAAGACATGAACCACAGATCACCAAGAACCATAGATTACCAAGACATGAACCACAGATCACCAAGACAAGAACCACAGATCACCAAGCACATGAACCACAGATCACCAAGACAAGAACCACAGATCACCAAGACAAGAACCACAGATCACCAACACATGAACCACAGATCACCAAGACAAGAACCACAGCTCACCAAGACAAGAACCACAGATCACCAAGACAAGAACCACAGATCACCAAGTCAACTAGAGAACTGTACCATAATAAATCACCAAAAAGTATTGAGAAAATCGATTTTTTTGGGTGGGACTTTCACTGTACGTTAGTACAAACTTTCACTTTCATTAAATACAAAGTTTTCACCTCTTTCACATAGAAACTTTTCCCTTTCTTTAGATTTAGACTTTCACTTCACTTCACTTATATGACAACTTTTTGACTTCACTTATATAACAACTTTTTGGCTTCACTTAGATATAGACTTTTTTTTACCTTTTTTTACATTCAAACATTCACTTCACAAACTTTTCTCTAATACTTTTCGAGTGAATAGAGAGAGAGAGAGAGAGTGTAAATACTGGCTCATCCGTACCTAGCAGCTAACCGCCCCCCCCCGGCACACACACCGACACAGGTAAACAAGCAATATCTTTCTTCTTCTTCCTCCTCCTACTCCTCTTCTTCCTCCTTCTCTTCTTCCTCCTCCTCCTCCTCCTCTTCTTCTTCCTCCTCCTCCTCCTCTTCTTCCTCCTCCTGCATAATTTAACACGCTGACCAACGCTCCACACCACAATATTTCTCACCATGTTAAACCGGGAGGAAGAGAGAGAGAAGGAGGAGGAAGAGGGAGAGAAGGAGGAGGAAGAGAGAGAGAAGGAGGAGGAAGAGGGAGAGAAGGAGGAGGAAGAGGGAGAAGAGAAGATGAGGAAAAGTAAAGATCCTTACACTAAGACCGAGAGAGAGAGAGAGAGAGAGAGAGAGCAGTTAACACGTGACGACGACGATAATGAGGATGCAGACTTACCTGTGTACGGGCAGCCAATCACCTCGACTCTCATACACACGGTGCGAGGGTGAGGTGAGAAGGGGACAAACCGGATCTTGGACGCCAGGATGGGAGGTATCAATTCATTCTTCACCACCATGTATGTGTTCACGTTCCCCTTCAAGATCTGCAACAAAAAAGAACAAGAGCATGGGTTTAGTTCTTTAAGACCACCTTCAGGATATGCTAGAGAACAAGAGCATGGGTTTAGTTCTTCAAGACCGCCTTCAGGATATGCTAGAGAACAAGAGCATGGGTTTAGTTATTTAAGACCACCTTCAGGATATGCTAGAGAACAAGAGCATGGGTTTAGTTATTTAAGACCACCTTCAGGATATGCTAGAGAACAAGAGCGTGGGTTTAGTTCTTTAAGACCACCTTCAGGATATGCTAGAGAATAAGAGCATGGGTTTAGTTCTTCAAGACCACCTTCAGGATATGCTAGAGAACAAGAGCATGGGTTTAGTTCTTTAAGACCACCTTCAGGATATGCTAGAGAACAAGAGCATGGGTTTAGTTCTTTAAGACCACCTTCAGGATATGCTAGAGAACAAGAGCATGGGTTTAGTTCTTCAAGACCACCTTCAGGATATGCTAGAGAACAAGAGCATGGGTTTAGTTCTTCAAGACCACCTTCCAGGATATGCCAGGAGAATCAAGGAGCATGGGTTTAGCTCCTTCAAGACCACCTTCAGGATATGCTAGAGAACAAGAGCATGGGTTTAGTTCTTCAAGACCACCTTCAGGATATGCTAGAGAACAAGAGCATGGGTTTAGTTCTTCAAGACCACCTTCAGGATATGCTAGAGAACAAGAGCATGGGTTTAGTTCTTCAAGACCACCTTCAGGATATGCTAGAGAACAAGAGCATGGGTTTAGTTCTTCAAGACCACCTTCAGGATATGCTAGAGAACAAGAGCATGGGTTTAGTTCTTTAAGACCACCTTCAGGACAGGACAAAAAAAAATTGAACAAAATGTCATCTCGTTCTGTTCGTTTGTTCATCAAGGTAGACAAGAATAAGTAGTAAAGTGGGATTAATTTTATATCACGGAATATCAAGAACACAATGTTATTTTGTTCTTCTGGTAGTTGGTGTTCCTTGGGCACACACACACACATACACACACACACACACACACACACACACACACACACACACACACACACACACACACACACACACACACACACACACACACACACACACACACACACACACACACATTCTCAACCTTCCTAACTATTACTTCTCCCCCAGCTCTCTCCTTCCCTGTCTCCTCACCTTACCTCTCTTACCTTTCTTTCTCTCTCCTACTTTCTCTTCTTCCAATTCTCCTCCTCACTTTCCTCACCTTCCCAACCCCACTTCACCACTTCTCCATCCCCTCCCAACCCCCCCATCCACTCACCCCCAACCCTCCTCCCTCCCACATCGCCTCCCTCCCTCCCCACCCACCACCTCCACCTCTTACTAACACTGCCTCCTCCCCCTCCCCTCCTCCTCCTCCCACGCCCTCCTCCTCCTCCTCCCCACGCCCTCCTCCCCAGCCCCCTCCCTCCTCACGCCCTCCTCCCACGCCCTCCTCCTCGTCTTCACCACCCAAAGCCTCCCTAAGGTAGAGCCCCATGAAAGCCTTCACTCAGACTCTCTTATTAAGTAAGACTCCTGTTCCACACTGCACACAGACTCACGCACACCACACCTGTTGCTCCCACACCTGTACACAGACTCACGCACATGTCTACACCTGTTGCCCCACACTTGTACACAGACTCTACGCACATGTCTACACCTGTTGCTCCTACACCTGTACACACAGACTCTCACGCACATGTCTACACCTGTTGCTCCCACACCTGTACACACAGACTTTCACGCACATGTCTACACCTGTTTCAAATACAATTCTTTCGTACACACACACATACACACACACACGCTTTCAATGTGTATACACAGCCGCATATATGTCCAATTGCAGGTGTGACAATGAATAACACATTGTCGTGCAGACTTTTGAGGTAAGTGTACACACACACACACACACACACACACACACACACACACACACACACACAAGGGCAAATCATTTATGTAAACAAGAACAGACACACCTGTTCTATATAATTATGCTATACACCTGTTATTATATTATATTATATTATATTATTTTATATTATTTTATATATTAATTATATTATATTATGTTATGTTATGTTATATTAGACCCCAAACCTTCCCTCCCTCACACTCCTCTCCCCACCTCCCTCCCCCTCCCCACACCTCCCTCCCTCCCTCCATCTCCCCTCCCCACCTCTTTGCCCACATTCCACTCTCCATCCCCCCTCTTCCCCCCTCACTCCCTCCCCACACTCTCTCTCCCTCATTCTCCCACCCTCCCACTTCCCACCACCTCCGTCACTTTCCACCCTCCCACCACCCTTCCCACCTCCCACCTCCTCCTCACTTTCCCCCCTCCCCACTCCCCACCCACCAGCAACACAACATACAGCTACACCTCATCACGGCTTGTTGCTTCTGACACCACTGTATACCTTCTGTCCTGTTGTACACCCCACCACCCACTTCACCCAGGACTAAACCACACCTACACTACACCCAGCACTACACACAGCTCCTACACCCACTAACCACACCAACACTACATTACACTGCACCATACACTACACACACCCACACTACACACCAGCACACACACAGCTCACACCCACTAACCGGCCACCAACACTACATTACACTGCACCATACACTACATTACACCTACACTATACCCAGCACTACACCCAGCACTGCACTACACCCAGCACGCACACAGCACACCACACCCAGCACTGCACCACACCCACTGCACACCCACACCACACCCAGCACACCCAGCACTGCACACCCAGCACTACACACACCCAGCACACCCAGCACTGCACCACACACCCACCACACTGCACTGCACCGCACCACACCCACTGCACACCCAGCACTGCACCACACCCAGCACACCCACACTGCACTACACCCAGCACCACACCCAGCACCACACCCCAGCACTGCACTACACCCAGCACTGACCACACCCAGCACTGCACCACACCAGCACTGCAATCAGCACTGCACCACACCCAGCACCACTACACCCAGCACTGCACTATAAGTACACACAAGGCAGGTGGAGATGCCACTTAATCAGGTCATACAAAGGGGGGTAATATATCACAACACTGGAGGTCGACTGGAGCCTGAGGTCGACCCCTGCTAAACAGGTCGACCTCCTCATACTGAGGTCGACCTCCTGCTAATTAGTAGTCGACTCAGGAATTTAGCCGACCTCCTGAGGTACTTCCGGTATGAGGTCGACCTCCTGCTGGTACTGAGGTCGACCTCCTGCTACGAAGGTCGACCTCCTGCTAGTACTGAGGTCGACCTTGTTGAAATTGGAGGTCGACCTCCTGCTGGTACTGAGGTCGACCTCCTGCTGGTACTGAGGTCGACCTCCTGCTAATGGTCGACCTCCTGCTAGTACTGAGGTCGACCTTCGCTGGTACTGAGTCGACCTCCTGCTAGTACTGAGGTCGACCTCCTGTCTGAGGTCGACCTCCTGCTGGTACTGAGGTCGCTCTCTGCTGGTATGAGGTCGACCTCCTGCTGGGTACTGAGGTCGACCTCCCTGCAGTACTGAGGTCGACCTCCTGCTGGTACTGGGGTCGACTCCTGCTGGTACTGAGGTCGACCTCCTGCTGGTACTGAGGTCCACTGCTGGTACTGGGTCGACCTCCTGCTGGTACTGAGGTCGACCTCCTGCTGATACTGAGGTCGACCTCTGCTGGTACTGAGGTCGACCTCTTGCTGGTACTGAGGTCGACCTCCTGCTGGTACTGAGGTCGACCTCCTGTAATCTGAGGTCGACCTCCTGCTAGTACTGAGGTCGACCTTCTGCTAACCCTGAGGTCGACCTCCTGCTAGTACTGAGGTTGCCTCTGCTGGTACTGAGGTCGACCTCCTGCTGGTACTGAGGTCGACCTCCTGCTGTACTAGGTCGACCTCCTGCTGGTACTGAGGTCGACCTCCAGCTAGTACTGAGGTCGACCTCAGGTTGGTACTGAGGTCGACCTCCTGCTAAGTACTGAGGTCGACCTCCTGCTAGTACTGAGGTCGACCTCGCCAGTACTGAGGTCGACCTCCTGCTGGTACTGAGGTCGACCTCCTGCTGGTACTAGGGTCGACCTCCTGCTGGTACTGAGGTCGACCTCCTGTCTGGGGTGACCTCTTGGTACTGGGTCGGCCTTGTCTCCTTGCTGAGGTCGACCTCTTGCTGGTACTGAGGTCGACCTCCTGTCTGAGGTCGACCTCCTGCTGGTACTGAGGTCGACCTCCTGCTAGAGGTCGACCTCCTGCTGGTACTGAGGTCGACCTCCTGCTAGTACTGAGGTCGACCTCCTGCTGGTACTGAGGTCGACCTCCTGCTATTGAGGTCGACCTCCTGCTGGTACTGAGGTCGACCTCCTGCTGGTACTGAGGTCGACCTCCTGCTAGTACTGAGGTCGACCTCCTGCTGGTACTGAGGTCGACCTCCTGCTAGTACTGAGGTCGACCTTCTGCTATTACTGAGGTCGACCTCTTGCTGGTACTGAGGTCGACCTCCTGCTATACTGAGGTCGACCTCCTGCTGGTACTGAGGTCGACCTCCTGCTAGTACTGAGGTCGACCTTCTGCTGGTACTGAGGTCGACCTCCTGCTAGTACTGAGGTCGACCTCCTGCTGGTACTGAGGTCGACCTCTGCTGAGGTCGACCTCCTGCTGGTACTGAGGTCGACCTCCTGCTAGTACTGAGGTCGACCTCCTGCTGGTACTGAGGTCGACCTCCTGTGGGTCGACCTCCTCTGCTGGTACTGAGGTCGACCTCCTGCTACTGAGGTCGACCTCCTGCTGGTACTGAGGTCGACCTCCTGCTGGCTGAGGTCGACCTCCTGCTGGTACTGAGGTCGACCTCCTGCTATACTGAGGTCGACCTCCTGCTGGTACTGAGGTCGACCTCCTGCTCACATTTTACTACTACTACTAATTATTATTTATTTGTTATTATTATTATTATCCTCTTCTAGTCCTCC